CCAGTACAGGATGAGGAAAGTAGTTATCCCCCAGGGGGTTCCTGCTTTTGAATGTGCCAATACTTTCCAATATGGTTAACGTATTAGCGGGATTTCCATCCCTGTATCATCGCGAGTGAAACGTGCTTTGAACGAGCAGTGTGAGGGGCAGTGGCGAGTTTCGAACTATCGACGCCTACCAATTGGTGATGGTACCATGGATCATCACACCAGCAAATTTTTTCGCTTCCAAGTTTAGCATTATCATATCAGACACCATCACCAGGAACACGCAGACACGCACAAACACACGGACATACAAGCAACCGCACGGACACACGCGCAACCACACGGACATACATGCAACCACACGGACATACAAGTGGCCATACAGATAGACAGACGCGCACATACACAAACATACAGACAAACAGACATGACACGCAGGTGGTATCATCAGCTAGCATTTGATGGAAGAAGTCTTTCGTCCTGAATGTACTTTACACATTTTCATTTCGAATGAGCGAACGGATGGGCCGGTTGTTCCAGATAAACAGAAAGGGAATGGAAAGATCGGATGACTGATAAGCAAAATTGAGGAGGAGCGAAAGACGACATTGAGAATGGGTCGGGAGCAAAGCAAGGGGAAGGGAGGAGGTGCACGGACGAAGAATAAGGACAGAAAAGTGATAAAAATTGTACAGTGGTGAGTTATATCAGCACCTTCGTAATCAGTGGTTATGCTGCTTGAGCTGAAAGTTATTTGAAAGGCAGGTGGGTGGAAGTCGATAAGAAAAAGTAGCTTTTTTTAATCGGGCGGGGGAGTGGAGCAACGACGGGGCGAGGAGGGGGAAGGGGGGGTAGAAATGGATAACGTTTTGAAATTTCATGCTTCAGTCCATCCCACTGCTGGTTTTCTCATTTCCGTGGAGAAGGATGGTGCAAAGTGCTGGTGGAGAAGGCTAGCGAAAAAAATTGGCTTCCTAGACGAGGATTGATGGACCATATAGTTTGGAATTTTGATGTCTCACCTCTTTCAGTCATCGCTTCGCCTGATGCACCCCGCCCTTCACTTTTCCCATGTTTCTTTTTCCAAAGAACAGATGCTTCCATTAATGGCTTTTTTTCACCGTTTTATAATTTTTTTTTCTCGAAAAATGTCATGTTTTCACAAATTATTTCATTTTTTTCTAATAGTTTTTTTTTTTTTTATCTACACAATTTTGCTGCGAACATCGCTGCAACACGTGGTTGCTGTTGGCACTTGCTATCATTTGAGGTATTTCCGGTTGTCTCCGCCCTTCAGAGAGAAAAAAAGAAATGAAGTTTTTACATAAATTATAAATTATTCAGTGGAATAAGAATGTTTCGG